TCCAAAGTTTGAAAAAATAGGGGAGTTGAAGTGACAGGATGGAGCCTTATATAGCGCCAGGAGGTGAGACGAAGGTCACTAGTAGAAGTAAGAATGCATATGTGTCTTACCTAACAACCTGTCGGTATTTTATACCATTTTAATGTTCAATCTGTCAGACACTGCAACACAAGGGTATCTTGGTACAGACCTGCAATCATCTTCGACAACCTCTACTAGTGAGAACGGCTGGATTTGAGAGGGACCTGACCTCCCAACATCTGCGTTCTACTAGTGACCTACGTCTCACCTCCTGGCGCTATATAAGGCTCCATCCTGTCACTTCAACTCCTTGAGGGCTGAGCTTGCTACCATCTGCAGCTCATAAGACTGCCATCCCCACGAGCCCCTTTGAGGCGGGGTAGATGGCAGACCAGAGGCCTAGCTTCTCCCTACGAGCCCCGTGAGGGCGGGGAATGTGGCTAGGCCTGGGGACACTTGGTCCCAAAGATGAGGAGGTACTGTACCTCCTCCCATGGGAGACTTAAGTCTCGAGACACTCAATTCAATTCAATTCAATTCAAAGTTTATTCTCTATAAGGATTACAATGCTGAGTTTACAGAAATTTGGTTATTGTTTGGTTTACATGTAGTAAAATTGTGATTACAGAGTGTACCACTAGAACGCTTAGCATGGCTAGGCATTTCGGGCATACTTAGTTTTATTCTTAATTGTAAAATATTACAAATTATGAGGTAAGTTGGTCTTATGGCTAAGTGACTAAATACTAGTTTATGAGTTTAGCAATGTGAATGCTTTTGTTTTGGCACAGTATATAGTTTCAGTATTGGAGTATCACAGGATTCATTATTTTAAGACTGAGATTAATATTTCTGTTTATGGTCAAATGAGTGAGCGAGTGTAAGTGTGAACCACCAGGTGGTATTCGTGTAGTTAGGGAGCCAAGGCCGGGTCACTACTACTTGGAAAAGACCCGGGCCGGGAGAATACCGACGAATAAAAAAAAAAAAAAAAAAAAAAACTTCAACTCCATATTGTTTCAGACTTTGGAACAATGCTCTTCTCCAGACTGAGGGACTGACCACCTCAAAATTTTAAGGGTGATGGACTGATTACATCGTCTTCAAGTCTCTTCTGCTTCTATCAACTTTTCTGTACTCGACTGAAGAAGCCTACTGTGTAGGCGAAACGTTTCGAAATAAAGATACCTAACTGTTGCATATGTGTTTTAATAGCTGAACAAACGGTACAAGCAATGTTGGCCCTATAACCCAACAACAACAACAACACAGAAACAAAACAATCTGAACGTAGCCTCATTATACGGTGCATGCTGTCAGTGGCCCTAAAAACCCGCACAACAACAACATAGCTTCATTGAGGCGGAAAATAATGAATTCTCAGCAGCTGATGAACAGTCAGCTGTCACAGCAGCAGCAGCAAGCACTATTGCAGCAGAGCCAACATGCACAGATGTCTAACATAGGTCAGTGTAGCTGAAAAAATAAGGTGGGGAAGTATCGCTTTTTTTTTTTAAGTAAAATTGGTGAAGAATTTCGAGGTTGTTACCACATCGTGGGAAAATGTGTATATATTATTTGATTCAGGATGTAAACTGACCAGGTAAATAAGTATTTTACTACTACTACTACTACTACTACTATTACTACTACTACTACTACTACTACTACTACTACTACTATACTACTACTACTACTACTACTACTACTGCTACTATTACTACTACTACTACTACTATTACTACTACTACTACTACTACTGCTACTATTACTACTACTACTACTACTACTATTACTACTACTACTACTACTATTACTACTACTACTACTACTACTACTACTACTACTGCTACTGCTACTGCTGCTACTACTACTACTACTACTACTACTACTACTAGAGTTTACCTGGAGAGAGTTCCGGGGGTCAACGCCCCCGCGGCCCGGTCTGTGACCAGGCCTCCTGGTGGATCAGAGCCTGATCAACCAGGCTATTGCTGCTAGCTGCACGCAAACCAACGTACGAGCCACAGCCCGGCTGGTCAGGAACCGACTTTAGGTGCTTGTTCAGTGCCAGCTTGAAGACTGCCAGGGGTCTGTTGGTAATCCCCCTTATGTATGCTGGGAGGCAGTTGAACAGTCTCGGGCCCCTGACACTTATTGTATGGTCTCTTAACGTGCTAGTGACACCCCTGCTTTTCATTGGGGGGATGTTGCATCGTCTGCCAAGTCTTTGGCTTTCGTAGTGAGTGATTTTCATGTGCAAGTTCGGTACAAGTCCCTCTAGGATTTTCCAGGTGTATATAATCATGTATCTCTCCCTCCTGCGTTCCAGGGAATACAGGTTTAGGAACCTCAAGCGCTCCCAGTAATTTAGGCATTTTATCTCCGTTATGCGCGCCGTGAAGGTTCTCTGTACATTTTTAGGTCAGCAATTTCACCTGCCTTGAAAGGTGCTGTTAGTGTGCAGCAGTATTCCAGCCTAGATAGAACAAGTGACCTGAAGAGTGTCATCATGGGCTTGGCCTCCCTAGTTTTGAAGGTTCTCATTATCCATCCTGTCATTTTTCTAGCAGATGCGATTGATACAATGTTATGGTCCTTGAAGGTGAGATCCTCCGACATGATCACTCCCAGGTCTTTGACGTTCGTGTTTCGCTCTATTTTGTGGCCAGAATTTGTTTTGTACTCTGATGAAGATTTAATTTCCTCGTGTTTACCATATCTGAGTAATTGAAATTTCTCATCGTTGAACTTCATATTGTTTTCTGCAGCCCACTGAAAGATTTGGTTGATGTCCGCCTGAAGCCTTGCAGTGTCTGCAATGGAAGACACTGTCATGCAGATTCGGGTGTCATCTGCAAAGGAAGACACGGTGCTGTGGCTGACATCCTTGTCTATGTCGGATATGAGGATGAGAAACAAAGATGGGGAGCGAGTACTGTGCCTTGTGGAAACAGAGCTTTTCACCGTAGCTGCCTCGGACTTTACTCTGTTGACGACTACTCTCTGTGTTCTGTTAGTGAGGAAATTATAGATCCATCGACCGACTTTTCTTGTTATTCCTTTAGCACACATTTTGTGCGCTATTACGCCATGGTCACACTTCTCGAAGGCTTTTGCAAAGTCTGTATATATTACATCTGCATTCTTTTTTATCTTCTAGTGCATTTAGGACCTTGTCGTAGTGATCCAATAGTTGAGAAGACAGGAGCGACCTGTTCTAAACCCATGTTGCCCTGGTGTTGTGTAACTGATGGGTTTCTAGATGGGTGGTGATCTGCTTCTTAGGACCCTTTCAAAGATTTTTATGATATGGGATGTTAGTGCTATCGGTCTGTAGTTCTTTGGTGTTGCTTTACTGCCCCCTTTGTGGAGTGGGGCTATGTCTGTTGTTTTTAGTAACTGTGGGACGACCCCCGTGTCCATGCTCCCTCTCCATAGGATGATAAAGGCTCGTGATAGGGGCTTCTTGCAGTTCTTGATGAACACGGAGTTCCATGAGTCTGGCCCTGGGGCAGAGTGCATGGGCATGTCATTTATCGCCTGTTCGAAGTCATTTGGTGTCAGGATAACATCAGATAGGCTTGTGTTAACCAAATTCTGTGGCGCTCTCATAAAAAATTCATTTTGATCTTCGACTCTCAGTCTGGTTAGCGGCTTGCTAAAAACTGAGTCATATTGGGACTTGATTAGCTCACTCATTTCCTTGCTGTCATCTGTGTAGGACCCATCTTGTTTAAGTAAGGGCCCAGTACTACTGCTATACTACTACTACTACTATTACTACTACTACTACTATTACTACTACTACTATTACTACTACTACTATTACTACTACTACTATTACTACTACTACTATTACTACTACTACTATTACTACTACTACTATTACTACTACTACTATTACTACTATACTACTACTATTACTACTACTACTATTACTACTACTACTATTACTACTATACTACTACTACTACTACTACTACTACTACTACTACTACTACTACTATACTACTACTACTACTACTACTACTACTATTATTATTACCCTAGTGGGTTTAGCGCTTCGTTTTTATTGTAATATTATTATATTCTGCCTCCTTTTTTTTTTCTGTAACTGATTTTCACATAGTTGAGTTACTTGGTTGTTTTAATTTTTAATGTTATAATCATGACTGATTTCTACTGTATCTTACAACCAAGGTTTAAATAATAAGATGTTACAAGGACCCCAGTGGAAATAAGCTACTTTGTCTGACATTGTTGAGGTTATCCTTTAGTAATTTACAATGTAAGATAATTGTACCTATGTGTACCTGTACCTAAATAAACGTAACTAATAATTTAATATGTAGTAAGTAAGTAGTTAAGTTTATTCAGATACAGGTACACATAAATACAGTTACATAAGTTATCATACATAGAACCATATGTGTAGATTACCCAGGATAACTCCCCCGAAAAAGTCAGACAAAGTGACCTATTTCCGAAATAAACTTTCTAGATAGGCACAGCGCCAACTATCTCTGTCATGCAAGACCCTGTGTCTAGCTCTCATTCACACAAGAATGCAGGAGGCCTACTGGCCTATGGTATGTAGGCCCAGCTCACACCCACTCTTGTACCTGTCCAACATAGTTTTAAAGCCATTTAACCCGTAAACGTTCACATGCGTAGTGCTTCAAAAGTAGATCTATTTTTTTTACTTATTTTCAGATATAACAAAAAAAAAAGTAGATCAAAGTTTTTTACACATTTTCAAATGTACAAAAAAAAAAATCTACTTTTTTTACATACTTTCAAATGTTGAAAAAACGTATATATACGTTTGAACCGTTTACGGGTTAAGTAAGTTTATTTAGGTACAGGTACACATAGGTGCAATTATGTTACATTTTAAATTACCAAAGGATAACCCCAAAAAATCCCAAAAAACAGCTTATTTCCATTGGGGTCCTTGTAATACCTTATTATTTAAAACCTGGCTGTAAGATACAGTAGAACTCAGTAGAAATCTGCTAACACCTGTTACCTTTATTCACCTAGCAGTAAATAGGTACCCGAGTGTTAGCCAACTGTTGTGAGTTGTATCCTGGAAAAGAGACCTTAAAGACCCCAATGGAAATATTACGTATTGGCTTTCTTGGAGGTTTATATGAATAAAATCTTTAATTGTCTTACAATTTAACACTGTAGAAATCTATTTCCACATAGAGAACTTGAGATTGTTCTTATATAATTATTCCTCAGATTACACTATGTAAAATATTAAATGTTTTAATATTTTTCAGACGTAATTTGTCTCAAGCTATACTGTATGAGTGTTAGTTATTATTATGTTATAACCATACATAATTGATACATTCAGCTTGTAATGAGGTTTTCTTCTCAGCCTTGTTGGTTGTGAACATTTGGCTCACATCCATAAAGAACTACATGTTAGTGGCTCTCTTGTGTGCCTAAGAGTATTTTAGTATATGTAAACTACAATATCTGTGTACTGCAGAAAAGAAAGAAATGATTTGTATTTGTTTTATCTTGGGTGGGGATAGATGCACAAGCAAATCTGTGTTATCTTGATTCTCTTCCTTTCCTTCATTTAGTAGTAGAGAGATACTTAAGGATGCATAAGCTGTTGTGGGTCATATCCTTGAACAGGATCTAGGAATCCCAGTGGAAATAAGCCAACATAGCTGGGTTGGTAGTGCACTCAGCTCACACACTGAGGTCCATGGTTCAGTCCCCAGTATGGGTGGAAACCTTAGGGGTGTGTTTCCTTAAGACACCTGCTATCTCTGTTCACCTAGCAGTAAAAGAGATACAGTGGACCCCCGAGTTTTGGCGGCATCGACTTTCGTGAAATCCGACTTTCGGCAAGTTTTTTCTGCAAAATTTGGCCTCGCGTTTCGTGATTAGACTCGTGATTCGGCGACCGTCCAGTACCCGTCCGCCCGTCACCGCGCACACAAAGCCAGTCTCCCACACCATTCACGCTCAGTGTGCCATTGTTTACCAACACGTGACCATCACCCCGCGGGTTCATACGTAATAATCCATTGTTTTTTGTGATTGCAACTGCTAAATAAGTCACCATGGGCTCAAGGAAAGCTAGTGCAAGCCCTTTGGTAAAGAAAGTGAGGAACACGATCAAATTCAAGAAGGAAATCATTGAATAATATGAGAGTGGAGTGCATGTTACAGAGCTTGCCAGGATGAATGGCAAACCCCATTCAACCATCACTTCGATCATGGCGAAAGGAAAGGAAATAAAGTGTGCTGTTGTTGCAAAGATTAAGGACATTTGTGCAAAGTGGACTGAAGTGCAAACATTTATGGATGAACTTCACCCTAACAAAACTCTTGCAGGCCGTATTGGCAACATGTACAATGACAGTGTTGTGTCCCACTTCAGACAAATCTTAAAGAAACGCCAGAAACAGAGCTCTCTGGACAGATATTTTGTGCGACAGGGTTCCAGTGACTCTCAAGTTGTTCCCAGTGCCAGTGTCTTTAAAAAACAAAGAAGGGAAGTAACCCCAGATAAGGACTTCATACCTGAAGCCCTAATGGAAGGAGATTCTCCTTTCAAACAATAGTGTACACATTCCTCCTATCCCCTCCTCCCGTCTTCCATCCACCCAGAAGTCTTCAGTAAAGGTAAGTGTAATGTTATTGTTTTTTATATGCATGTACTTGATCTCTCATTGTTTTCAGTATGTAAATCTTTATTTAATTTGAAAAAAATATTATATTTTAATATTTTTGGATGTCTGGAACGGATTAATTTTATTTCCATTATTTCTTATGGGGAAAATAGTTTCACCATTTGGCAATTTCGACTTTCGGCAGGCTCTCTGGAATGGATTAATCACGAAACTCAGGGGTCCACTGTACTTGGGTGTTAGCTGACTAGGTGTGGGTTGCATCCTGGTGACAAAATTAACCTAATTTGCATGAAATGCTCTGCATAACAAGAGGCTTTCTATATAACATGTAATGGATGTCTGCTAGGCCTATGTAAGTTGTATCATGTACTTATAGAAATAAAGATTATTATTATTCTTTTCTTTTGTGAGTTATCCTAGGTTATTAACCCTCCACAGGTAATAATCCAAATTAAGTTGTCATTTTTTCTAGGGCCACAACAAAACCTCCAGCAGAGTCAGCAGTCTCAAGAACAGCAGCAGCAGCAGCAACAGCAGCAGCAGCAGCAACAGCAGCAGCAACAACAACAACAGCAACAACAACAACAACAACAGCAACAACAACAACAACAACAACAGCAACAACAACAGCAACAACAACAGCAACAACAACAACAACAACATCAATCTAGTCAACAGCAAGAGTACAAATTAGACAACATCAGCCGAGTCAAGAATCACTATGGGCAGTTAAAGGAAGCTCTTATGGTGAGAAACTCTGGCTTTACGAACATGGGCTAAGTCAGTCCAGCATTATTGAGATACGTTTTATTTGCTACCTGCACACTGCAAGCATCATAATTATTGGAAGCCTCGACACACTTACCAGCCCACAAGCATGTCCTGAACTGCACTGTGATACAATTTTTATAGCAATCATCTTAAACTTTAAACAGCAAAAATGGCTTAAAACCATTATATATTTTTTCTGAACATTACCCATGGCATATACTGATTCCGATGCTATCAAAATTAGCTAACACACCGATATTGATGCTCAATTTTGGGCCAATGTTGCTATTGTCAATATCAGTCGATTTTAGTGCCATCAAAATTAGCCAATGCTCAATTTTGGGCTAATACCGATGTCACCAGAATAGTTGATACCCACTGATACCAATACTTTTGCACACCCCTAAATTTATTATATCAAGTAAGAGTCCAGCTTTCATTGTTTCACGACAGCACAAATATAGAGTACTGGTTGATTAGTTTTACGCCTTAATTTACAGACTCGTTTCAAAGCCCATCGCTATAAAAGATATACTGCATCTCCCTAGAATATAATTACTCTACCTATTTGTAGCTCCTAGAGCAGAGCTATATGTACTTGTAAAATGTCAGTTTTCCTTCAGATTTTGTACTCTTGACGTCACCTGCAGAAAGGATTCTCTACCATTTCAGAGATTTTTTTTTGAAAAGTGGACACTTAGAGGAATGTTAATTTAAGGGGTCTGGACAGTGAAATGCACTGTATAACCCTTGTAGGTTTAGCACTTCTTTTTTATTATAATAATAATGGACAGTGAAAGGGTTAATGAAGCATAAAATATAGGCTATACCATCGGCAAAGGGTGTCAGTTTTATATGCTGGGTAGCATTTGGTAACTAGGAGATGGTTCATGGAGTTATTGGCATGGGCAAGTGCCCTCTAATAAATTTAATGTAGACCATTCCTGATTACGGTTTCAGTGCAGTAATTTAAAGCCTTTTTTCGGTTTCACGTCAATAATTTGAACCTCTTTTGAGTGACTTCAAACTTGTTAGATTGGTGTATCCTTCCTAGAAGGATGGGATTGTTGTTATTGTGTGTAGGTACCAATATGCTAATTTTATTGAAGAAATTGGTAAAATTGAAATATCTATACTGACTTTCATATGATAATTTGTGAATGCCTTATCAGATTGGCTTCCAACCTTCAACTGAGTGGCTTTGAACTTAAAGTGCTGGTGTATTTTGGTATATTGGTCTTTGAGATAAGTAGAGAAAGCCTCTTCTGATTGCCTGTACATGTACACTGTCAAGCCAGGTGTATTTTACTCAGTGGAAAGTTAAAATGGGTTTTGGACTATTGAAATTGGGATACGTATTAGTTTCAGTGGTATAATTTGTGAATGCCTCTTCTGATTAGCTTCAGATATTAAGTACAGTGGAACCTCGGTTTTCGTACGCCCCAGTTTTTGTAGGATTCGGTTTTCGACTTTTTCCGTCAAAATTTTGTCCCAGTTTTTGTACATCACCTCAGTTTTTGTAAAGTTAACAATGGCCCATACCAAACCTGTCCACCTGCCCGCTCGCGTCACTTGGCCACTCAAGCACCAAGTGATTCAAGTCTGCCTTTGTTTATTGTTGATTGAGCATCACCCCACGCATTCAGCCAAAACATTTTGTAATAATCTATTGTTTTTTGTGCTTGTTTATTGAGCGCGACTGCTCAGTAAGCCACCATGAGGCCAAAGAAAGTTCCGAGTGCCAGCCCTTTGATAAAGAAGGCGAGAAACATGATAGAATTCAAAAAAAAAGTTGTAGCTAAGTACGAAAGTGACTCTCAAGCTGGTCCTAGTGCCAGTAAAAGACAAAGAAGGGAAGTAACTCTGGATAGGGCCTTGATACCTGAAGTACTTATGGAAGGGGATTCCCCTTCCTAACAGTAACCTCTCCCCCCTCCTCGCTGTCTTCCATGCACCAACAAGAGTCTTCAGTAAAGGTAAAAAGTGATGTTAAATGTTCATTTATCCATTTCATTAGTTACTTATATTTATTTCTCATTGTTTTCTGTGTATGTATAAAACTATAGTTATTCTCTGCAAAATGTATTTTTTGTTAGTATTTTTGGGTGTCTGGAATGGATTGATTGGATTTACATTATTTCTTATGGGAAATATTGCTTCAGTTTTTGTATAATTTGGTTTTTGTCAGACTTTGTGGAACAAATTATTCACGAAAACCGAGGTTTCACTGGATGTACTAATATTTTTTTCATTGTTAAGGTTAACAATATTTTGTGCTTTTCATAGATCAATACATGCCAGTAGTTTTAGTTATTATTTACTATTTTCAGGTGATGTATAGGTTTGTATTAAGAATTTTAATATGTAGTACTTTACAGTATAAATGATTAAATTTAAAATTTTTAATTCCAAAACATTATCATTTTGTTTACAGGAGACACTGGTATGTGCGTCCACCAACCTCGGAGGCAACCATCAAGTTGATCTTGGAAACAGGTAATTGTTTTTTGCCACAGGGCAATGATCCCAATAACCATTAACAGATAGTAGACAATATACATATGTCAGGATGGGAGAACATTATTGGATATGTTTGAGTCCTGGGACCTTGGCCACTCCAAATGATACAAGAGAATGAGAAAATCTGGTACATATTTACTGTACCATGTAGTAAAAAGGACCCCAATGGAAATAAGTCACTCTGACTTTTTTTGGGTTATCCTAGGTTCTTTACACATATGCTGCTATGTATGATAATCTGTGTAACTATATTTATGTATACCTAAATAAACTTACTAAAAGAACGCAAGTCGTCAGTTAGAGTCAGGTGAGAATACCATGGAGAAATATCAGATATGCAAGAATAGCAGAGATGATGTACTGTATTTTTCAGCCTTTGGTTCTGTAGTGTTGGAAGTCATAATTAAGGATGTTTCAATACAGTAGTACACATCCTTGTTCGACTGTAGATCATTTCTTGTTCAAACGACTCAGATTTGTTGATGACATTTGGTCATAATCCAGGAAGGCTTAATATGTAAGAATTTCTTAAGATCAGCACCATTAAAACTACTATTACATTTATTCTTGAGCTGGAAATGAAGATAAATTACCATTTCTTGATGTCCTGCAGTGCAGGTCACTCAACAGAGGCACTCTTTGAAAGTCTACAGACAAATAAAAATGACCATACTCATTTTTAATTGCACCAAAAGAGGTGCAGCGATTAGATTTTTCCTAAAAGCTGTATGTATCTCCAGTACATTACCCTCTCACACATTTCCCTACTTCCCTCTCTGCTTTATACAAGATTGTAGTGGTGGCCCACTGGCCTGCATAGCCATCACAGCCTGGTTGATCGGGTATAGTGGCAGTGCCAAGGGGACATAATTGGACTGAAGCTCCACTATAATAATGCAGCTTCATGACAAGTCTACTAGCTCCCCTTTTAACCACATTGCCACCCCTCAGTTCCTCCTATTTGGAAAGTGGGAAGCCACCCCTGTATATACTGTACATGTATATAACTTGTTGCTGTTTAGTGTGTGTAGAATTTTTTTTTTTTTCAACAAGTTGGCCGTCTCCCACCGAGGCAGGGTGACCCAAAAAAAGAAAGAAAATCACCAAAAAGAAAATACTTTCATCATCATTCAACACTTTCACCTCACTCACACATTATCACTGTTTTTGCAGAGGTGCTCAGAATACAACAGTTTAGAAGCATATACATGTACATATAAAGATACACAATATATCCCTCCAAACTGCTAATATCCCAAACCCCTCCTTTAAAGTGCAGGCATTGTACTTCCCATTTCCAGGACTTAAGTCCGACTATATGAAAATAACCGGTTTCCCTGACTCCCTTCACTAAATATTGCCCTGCTCTCACACCAACAGATCGTCAGGTCCCAAGTACCATTCGTCTCCATTCACTCCTATCTAACACGCTCACGCACGCTTGCTGGAAGTCCAAGCTCCTCGCCCACAAAACCTCCTTTACCCCCTCTCTCCAACTCTTTCGAGGACGACCCCTACCCCGCCTTCCTTCCCCTATAGATTTATATGCTTTCCATGTCATTCTACTTTGATCCATTCTCTCTAAATGACCAAACCACCTCAACAACCCCTCTTCTGCCCTCTGACTAATACTTTTATTAACTCCAAACCTTTTCCTAATTTCCACACACCGAATTTTCTGCATAATATTTACACCACACATTGCCCTTAAACAGGACATTTCCACTGCCTCCAACTGTCTCCTCGCTGCTGCATTTACCAATCAAGTAAAAGTAAGGATTGTCTGCACTACAGATTATACCATATCAGTCTTGTAAAGTGTGATTTCTGTAATTTCTGACTTTTTTGCAGGAATGCTGGTGAAGTGCAACATGCTAAGTTTGAAGAAAGCATTGAAAAATTTTATACATTATGTGACCAAATGGAGTTGAATCTTGTGAGTATTTTTGCATTTATGTTCAATTTTATCATCTCCACACTAATATTGCATTCAAGATATGTAGATGGCTGCCTGTTCTCAGTAATTCTATCATTATTCAATATGATTAGGTACAGTTTTTCATCACATAGAACAGTACAATATTTATGTAATAATTACAAATAAAATGTTAATGTATTGCAGTAGAACAGTTGACCTCACTCAGCAATGTCTCACTATGTCTTCCCATATTTAAGAGGAAATCTTGAGCCTAGTGACTTTTTTAGATACGGTGCAGGTAGTACGTTTGTGTCAACCATCTTTGATATTGTTTTAACGTCACCTTTGCACCATTTATAAAAATTTTTAGTATATTTCTAAATGTTTATACAGTAGTGTACTGTATATTGTAATAAACGGAATCGAGGAAATCAGCTCTTAATATACATTATTTAGGTATGCATACTGGTCAGACAGCCCGTTGTAAGTCTGAGTTGTCGGTAAACAAATACATCACTAAGTGAGGAGAGGCTGTAGTTTTTTCAACACCTTGTGAACTTATGTGATTGATACTGTAACTGGGATTTGCTAGTCATAAGTTTAATCCCCACATTGTTCCTAGCTTTCAAAATTATATTTAATGTTTATTAAAATGCTGTGCTCTTTATTATTCACCGTGACTAAGTCTGCTTATTTATTTCACCCTTTGTCCAGAGAACAGCAATTGACAGTCAACTGCAAGGAAAGGCTTCCCAGTTTTATACACCTAGCTCAATATCTGCACCACCTGTTGATGTCCAGAAATATGCTCATTACCTCACAACAGTGAGGAATCAAGTGGTGTATGCTAAAGACATTCATACTGCTCTGGTGGATGCTGCTACAAATATGAGCATCAACACTACAGCTATGTCAGCTATGGACAGCAGTAATTGATATCTTTGCTTTCATAGTCCTTTTTAAACAGTTTCATTGGGTACAGTATACAAAACTTTTCAGTCAATGTGCAGTGTACAGTAGTACCTCGGTACTCAACAGCTCCCAACTCGAACAATTCGGTATTCGAACACATTGTTCGGTAAAACGCTCAGTATTCAGCCGACTGTTTGCTCAGCGCTCAACCAAACAATGTGTGTCAGTCTCCCCACAGCTGTCACACAATGCAAAACTCTGCTGAACTTCACTGTAAACTATTTTGTTTCTTTGCATTTTTTGGTATGTTTTTATACAGTATTGTACATATAAATAAGGCACCATGGGGCCTAAAAAGATTAGTGATAACTTCAACCAAAAAGAAAATTGGTTACTCACAATAGATATGAAAAAAGAACTCATAGCAAGATATGAAAGTGGTGCCCACATGTTTTGTATGGCGAAATCTACGTTAATCTAATTTACATTAGTCCTTATGGGAAAAATTCGTTCTGTACTCGAACAGCCTTCTGGAACAAATTAAGTTAAAGTACCGAGGTACTACTGTACTCTTAAAAAGGTGTTGCAATTCATATTCTTATATGTACATTTGTATTTTTTTTGTTTTTGTTTACCACTAGTTAGGCATGGTGCCCCCAAAGAATTTAAGACATTCATTCACCATCTGCCTTGCTGTTAGTGCAGACAATTGAGATAACCAAAAAAAGGCACAATACTGTGACTGTCCTTGCTCTTGCCCTGTGGGCACCTAGCTCCCTCGCAGTGCTCCACCTCCTGCCTATATATACCCATCCTGCTCTCCTTTTCGTTAGTGCGATTTTGTAAATGGTCCAAGTTCGACCGAAATGTAAGTTTTTCTCTTCTATGTGTGGGTTGTGTAAAATTTAAATGCCATTCAGGCTGTAACATCAATACCATTGCTTCAAACAAAATGCATTTTTTTTTTTTATAATAGTTATCCTATTGTTATAACATTCATGGAAAGTGATAAACCCATGGTCCTTTGACGAGTAGGAAGGAGAGCGTAGGTCCAATTCCTTGGATCAAAAGTCCCTCACTGGCTTAAAGGAACCTTTCTTGAAAATTACAGATTTTAAAGACTATGTATTTGGTAGATGTAGTTTGTTGTACACCACCATACATATTTAATAAAATTTTAAATATTTTTCAAATGCCTCTTAACTTGTCATCCGTATCAGAAAGCACTAAACCCACAGGGGTCATTGCTTGAAGGGCAGGTTTGGTCGTGTATTGATGCACTAGCTGCTGACCCCCAGTTCATGAACTTTGTATTGCTACTCTTCCTAGCTAGTTAAGAATGCATTTCCAACTTCTGGTACTCATTGCTGTATTACCTTTGTGAGTATAGTAATTTTGGTGGTTTAGTCTTAAGGTTGTGATAATCAGACTTCTGGGCAAGACTAGTAGGGAATCTAGTTCTGGACACCCTGCTGTGATAAGAGCTCCAGTTAATTTTATTTTTGACCATTGACATTAAATTAAAATTATCTGCATTGGGATAATTATGAAAACTAAGCACTAAACCCACAAGGGTCATACAGGGGTAGGATGTACCGTTTAATGTGTTTGATCAGCCTAGCAAGGGTGGAGTATAATGGAGGTAGAGTTTAAGGGCAATGAGTGCAAAATCATATAATCAAAGGTTGTGTATTATGGAGAACACTAAACCCATAGGTTTTATATAGCACATAGGGGTGGAAGATATTTAGGCTCAATTCAGGGAACTGGAGCACCAATCCAGTTACCTAGATTAAGAGCCCCTTACTAAATGGCAGATTAGGGTGCTACACTCACATGGGTCTCAATTATAATAAAGGGGGAAGCGCTAAACCCAGAGATTATACAGCGCCTAGGGGGGGATGTGGAAGGCATTCAGGCTTAATTCGGGGAACTGGAGCACAGATCCAATTCCCTAAATCAAGAGCCCCTCACCAACATCAAGGAACCTTCTTTGAGGGGCACGAGTCATACAGCACCTAGTTTCATGGAGACTCCTAAACCTGAGTCATACACCTGGGAAATTGGAAGGTATTCAAGCTGAGGGGAAGGAACAGGTCCTTCATGGGATTGAGCCTCTCCATGAACATAAAGGGCCCATATAGTACTTTGGGGGGGGGGGGGGGGTTGGCATCTTGGCTGTCAAAGGATAGTCCCCCCCCAAAAAAAAGTGAGACCTCAGATATATACCTCCCTAGAGGGAACACTGCTTCACTGAACTTTTAAAACATTTTTACCGATCAGTTGGGGGATGTAGTTATTAGTCAGGGTTATTTTACTAAAATTTAAAGAGGCACCATTCATGAATCATTAATTTTAAGGGGTTAGAGCATCTCAGGAATGCTCTTGTGTTGCATTACTAGGGAAAGCACTTTTGAAGGGGATTATAATTAAGGGGGAAGCACTAAACCTGTAGAAACAGGTACCAAGGTGGTAGTTTCATTCCTTGGAACCTTCAAGGCTTGCAACGTTTTATTTGTTATCAATTAGCCTGTCTGACCTGTCAGTACTGAACTCTGAAGTGTCTTTAGCACCAGGGTTAATACAGGTTTGGCAAGAAATTAGCTTAAATCCTTTGAATCCCTCGGCATAAAACCTCCCTGGGAGTACTAAACCTAGTGGCAATGTGCAAGTTCACCCAGGAGTCAATCCTAGGAAGTTACTAGCCACATTTCACCATACAGAAAGGGGGGAGGGGGGGGGGAGACTGCAAGAATAAGTGCTATGACAAAAGTGCATGCTAAACCTGAAAAGGCCATACAGCATTATAATTTGTCTAGCAAAGGAATGAGAATTTAACAGGAAATAAGCGCTTTAATTTAGAGCCCCTCACATGGATCATGTGAACCAAGGGAAAAAAAATGAAGTTACGTTGACCTTATTTCAAGTGCCTGCGTAGAGGAACCCTCTACGTGCATAACAAACTCTTCATTTTCTAGTAGTTTTATTCATAAATGATATTGTACATTATAATTTTAAGCGCAAGAATTTGGCATTAGCAGACATTGGCAGTACCTACATACAGGTATGCATATATACACATTTAAAAAGCCCAGCTACTGTACAAAGGTAGCAAATGACATACTATACTATGGATATAATTAAAATCATAAGTACAATCATTTATGAATGACATTTGAATGAAATTAAATAAGCGGAATGTACATTAAACATACTATGAGTAATGTGAGAATGCTTGCAGTTTATGGAAGTTAGCCTTTTAAATATGTACTGAACTTTATTTTCTGTACATTCAGTTTGTTATTAGTCAATATTCAGTCAAATCTGGTAATTAAGCAATTTTATTTGCCATACCATGTCAGGCATTTTAAATTCTATATTTCAAAGCTAGCTGGAATGCTTTCTACTAAACCGATACATTTGTAAATTTAACAAGATTAAGCCATAGTAACTGCAAAAATGGTACTGAAATTCCAGTGGAATTTAATGCCATCCAATTTAGAATTTATTGTCCCTAGTAATACAAAGACAATGAGAATGTTTACTCCTTACTCAAGTTTATTCTTATAAAAACCATACATCTTAAAGACTAGATAACGCAGTAAACCTATTATGGTCTCTAAGATGTAGGTTACTTCTTCTTGAGGGCCTTCTCTGCTGCCTTTGTAGTCTTTCCGCCACCTTCCTTCTTGTTGACATCCTTGATAACGCCTACGGCGACCGTCTGCTTCATGTCACGTACGGCAAAACGTCCTAGAGGAGCATACTTCTGGAAGGTCTCTACACACATTGGCTTACTGGGCACCATTTTAACAGTGCAAGAGTCACCAGACTTTATGGTCTTTGGTCCAGTTTCCAGAACCTTACCAGTACGCCTATCGATCTTTTCCAGAAGTTCATAGAACTTGCAGGCAATGTGAGCAGTGTGGCAGTCAAGCACAGGTGTGTACCCAGCATTGATTTGACCAGGGTGGTTCAAAACTATCACTTGTGCAGTGAAGTCAGCGGCCTCCTTGGCAGGATCGTTCTTAGAGTCTGAAGCAACAAAACCACGTTTCAGATCCTTCACCGAAACGTTCTTCACATTGAAACCAACATTGTCACCTGGAACAGCTTCTACCAGAGCTTCATGGTGCATTTCTACAGATTTTACTTCTGTAGTGGGGCCAGTTGGAGCAAAGTTCACCACCATTCCAGGCTTTAGGATACCGGTTTCAACACGTCCAACGGGCACTGTACCGATACCACCAATTTTGTAGACATCCTGAAAAAGGAAAGGCCAATATAAGTGCAATGGGTTTAAGATGGAAATAGATACATGAAAGCACTGATATGCCAAGTTGTAGATGTGGAACTTTTTGGGGGCAACAATTTCTGGGCAAATTCTTCCCAAGGACCAGTATGCCTGCTGCAGTACTGCAGGAATCTCAAGATGCTAGCAGTCTGGTAGTCTTGGCAAACCATTTGACCAACAGGTCTGCAGTATTTAATTTGCCCGATTAAAAATTTTTAGCCATTTTCTTATTACTGCTGTCCATTATATTCAGTACAACCTGCTTAATGAATTCAAGATTAGGGGTCCAGGATTCGGCAAGCTTGCCACTAACCTATTCTTGAAAATGAAGACTGGACTGCTTGTGGTGTAAGCCATAAGCAGGCTTTGTACAAAATTGTAAAGGCAACCTACCCCTCAAGAGGGTTGAAAATAGTAAATTGTTGACCAAGATCAGACTGGTCCAAGATGTTTTAAGTAAAAAGTCCACAACACTAGGGTGATTGAGTTACCTTTCCCTAATCCTCCCATTTATTGTACTAAGGAATTTACTTTTTGGCAAAATATTTCTAAAGACTTCCAGAGACAGTCATTCTTAGAAGCAAGTTTCCCCACAAACTAAGTTTGTCTGGTACCGGCAACAGCCAAATCACGTTACAAAATGTAAAACTGTTGCTAATGTTTATTTACTAGATAGGGAAAGTATACATCTATTGTTTGGCAAGATCCTTAATGCAAGGTGATAGTTCCTTTGCAACAGCATCAGCAAATCTCAGGTTTGGCAAAGTAAGTTTTAACAGGAAAAAAAATTGTGGCACTATGCAAGATGTATAGCATAACCCCCCCACCCCCCCCCACCCCACCCAAAGTTGAGAATTTTTAGTTTCCATACAAACCCTTAAATTTAATCAGGCAAATTAAAGATTACATTTAAGCAGTACTTCTAGTAAAGCTAATTAAGCCATTTAATTTTTAGATGTAATTTCAATCTTTGAAAATAGTGCAGTGGGAAATAAAGTTTAGAATAACCATTTGTTAGACAGCCAATCTTAAGAGGGAATCTCCCTCTAGTGAAAGAATTTTAAAACTAAAAATAGTGACAAGGTACATCAAAGATGCAATTATTTGGCCTATTAGTATTTGATATCAATAAGCCAGGAAAGGCTAACCTGCAAGGGAAGACGAAGGGGCTTGTCCAGAGGTCTGCTTGGGGGATCAATGTTGTCTAGAGCATCGAATAATGTGTGGTACTCGTATGAGCCATTCTTGCGTTCAATCTTCTTTGGTTTCCACCAGGCCATGTTGTCAGATGGTTCCAGCATGTTGTCTCCATTGAAGCCAGAGATGGGGAGGATGGGCACAATAGCTGGGTTGTAACCCACCTTCTTTACATATGCAGTAAGTTCCTTTTTGATTTCTTCAAATCTTGTTTCAGAGTACTTTGGTTCGTGCTGTCCATCTTATTCACAGCAACAATCAACTGCTTCACACCCAAGGTGAAGCACAGGAGGACGTGCTCACGGGTCTGGCCATTCTTAGAAATCCCAGCTTCAAATTCTCCAGTACCAGCAGCAACAATCAGAACAGCACAGTCAGCTTGAGACGTTCCCTTTAATCATGTTCTTGATGAAATCACGATGCCCTGGAGCATCAATGATAGTGACATAGAACTTCTTGGTTTCAAACTTCCAGAGGGCAATATCGATGGTGATACCACGTTCACGTTCTGCTTTTAGCTTGTCCAAAACCCAGGCATATTTGAAGGATCCTTTGCCCATCTCTGTCGACTCTTTCTCGAACTTTTCAATGGTACGTTTGTCAATGCCACCACATTTGTAGATCAAGTGGCCAGTGGTAGTGGACTTGCCAGAGTCTACATGGCCCACCACCACGATGGAGATGTGGATCTTTTCCTTACCCATTTTGTCAAGTTATCACTGAAGTTTGTTCTGGAAAGTAAAAAGAAAATAAGTAGAAGCTAAAATGTTAGTGCTATGAAATTGGTAATTCAGTAAAGTTGGAAACCTGGCATAGAAAATTACTTTTGTACAGAGGGGGGGGGGTGCCCTGAAAGTTTAATTGAAATTTAAGGAACTAAATATCAGGCACACAAGTGCAAAACTTCAAGCTTGACTGGGAATTTCCATTTCTAAGTAAAGCTCCAAAATAAATTTGCTTAAACCAGACAAATTTAAGTACTTGGATAATTACAGGTTAAAAGGTAGTCGTCCCCCCCCCCCCATAAATAGAATTGTTCAACACTATGCCAACAGTGAAAGGCCAATGGATCTGATTTAGAGTTTCCCCTAGGTATTCTACAACTAGAATAAACTAAATTTAGTCTTACTTTCACACAAACCTAAAATGAAGTTAAAGGTCTTAAAAACTGTTTGACCAAAACAATTTTAGGCAAAGTACAATTAATGAGGCTATACAAAAGCACTTTCTAAACTCTAGGAACATTTATCCTTTCATACACCAATTAGTTTTAAGGTAGGTTTATCTAGTACCCTTAGGTGGGGGTTTAAGAAACTGTTTAGAATTCACTAGTAGGCCTGCTACTGCCACCTTCATTAAAGGAGTTTATATCCACAGCATCAACAAGCAATGTTTGCAAAGAGCATTTTCTTTGCAAGAGCTTGACTAGGCACAAGTAGTTACAAGCAAATTCGTTAATCACGGCAAGAGGCCTGCTAGCCCATGGTACATCTTAAGAACCTAAGAACATAAGAACGAAGGAACACTGCAGAAGGCCTACTGGCCCATGCGAGGCAGGTCCAAGTCCCTACCGGCTTAAGCCAATGCACCCAACCTAGTCAGGTCAGGTCACATTGACTTAAGGGAGGAACACGGCAACCGACCTGTTAGCACAAGCTATCAGGTCCAACTCACACCCACCCACATCTACTCATGTATTTATCCAACCTATTTTTGAAGCTACACAACGTTCTGGCCTCTATAACGGTACTTGGGAGTTTGTTCTACTCATCCACAACTCTATTACCAAACCAGTACTTTCCTATATCCCTCCTGAATCTGAATTTTTCCAACTTAAAACCATTGCTGCGAGTCCTGTCTAGGCTAGATATTTTCAGCACACTATTTACATCCCCTTTATTTATTCCTGTCTTCCACTTATAAACCTCAATCATATCCCCCTAATTCTACGTCTTTCTAGAGAGTGCAGTTTCAGGCCCTTGTCTATCCTCATAGGTAAGGTTTCTGATACATGGGATCATCTTTGTCATCCTCCTTTTTTACATTTTCCAGAGAATTTATATCCATTCTGTAATACGGTGACCAAAACTGTGCAGCATAATCTAAATGAGGCCTAACCAAGGATGTATAGAGTTGAAGAACAACCTGAGGACTCCTATTATTTATGCTTCTTGATATGAAGCCAAGGATTCTATTAGCTTTATTGCGAACACTTATGCACTGTTGTCTTGGTTTCAGATTACTGCTAACCAGAACTCCTAAATCTTTTTCGCAATCCGTAATATTAAGATCTACATTATTTAGATTATATGTGGCATGGTTATTGTCCTGTCCAACATTTAGAACTTTGCATCCATTGTCGAGCCATTCTTTGTTAACAGTTCAGTGCTGATATTTAAGTATGCTTTAGAAGGGACCTTAAAGTCCCAGGGAAAAGATTCTGCCACCTCACTGCTGTAGGGGTTGACTGGGAGGCAAGGTACAGGACCAAATGCAGCAGCATTATAGGTAGTTAAACTAGCCAAGTAGGCCAGAATGTATTAAAGCTTTCTGAATTTGTGTCAAACTCAGAAATATAGAAACTAGGGTTAAGATTAATTTTTCCATGAAGATGTGGAAAGCAAAGTTGGGCAATTAAAACTGCAAGTACCACTAAAGTTGATGCTTCACAAGACTTAGTAATAGAAAGATTATGCTGCCCAGTTCAGAGGTTCATAACTGAACCTGTGCTGGAAAAATAAGATAATGGGGAAAACATTTTAAATTTCAAACAGGGAAAACTTTTCCTAGAGGCAACACCTTTATATGTGGGACAGGTACGAGAAGGCACAATTTGGCTAGAGAGTTCAGGCATATTACAGCGCTACATTCAATGGGCAAATTTTAGTATCTGCACAAGGTCAGATGAACCTTTCAGGTATATGTACTGGCCTATGCTAGTGATTTAGCATAAATTAAAATCAAATTCACTTTAACCATGTAGATTAAATTAGTCTGCAAACCTATATCAATTGCTACCTTAATTGTAGTGGCAAGCTAAAAGGTGCTGCTTAACTTCACTGGTGTACAGCTTCAGTCAAACCCACACTGATTTTTCACAACTTTCACAAAACATCAATTTGACCCATTTATGGGTGGCTCTGGCAGTTTAGACTGCTTTACAGGAAAGCCTGATTGTAGGTCAGCGATTTAAAGTTTAAGAAAAAGCTTATTACAGTATTGCAAAGGAGACTAGGTCCATAATGGAACTTTGCTCCAAGCAGGCCAGGTGCAACCTTTGCAATATCTTAGCAATGTTGGAACATTTTCAAGTGGGAAAGCTCAACAGTAGGTACTTTGTATCATACCAAGTAAGAGGTTTTGCTCCCGTGGTTCAACCATCAGTGCTTAAGCATTTGAACTATTGTATGTCTGAAAGTTGTCCTTAAGTAAATGTTTACTACCTCCCAATTACACTTCAATCTTTCCTCTTCCAAATTCTGCACCTTTGGAAGTGCAGGTAGTCTTCAAAATATTCAGTTTAAAGCTATACAACCTGGGCCAAGTAGTCTGCAATCTTTAAACTAGTCTAAAAAATCTCATACCTTATCTACCCTTTTGGTCCTGCAAGTTAGTCACTGGTAGTAAAAGTGACATGTTTGAGCGAACTTAAACCACTTAATACTTGGTTTAATTAGAGACAAGAGGGAAGAGAAACTAGTTTCTGTAGTAACATGGCATTTTATAAACTTTGTCCTACTCTTGAGGATAAACTAGTTCTGGATGAAGAGTCTTAGTTAAAAGATGCCTGAAGAAAGCATAAATTTTCTGAAGTAATTAAGCCATGTTCAGGAAGTACTGCAGGTTCAGACTAAAAGAAAGTGCACTTACAAGCTTCCTAATACTTTCCAGTTAACTAAGTTATTTATCCATTTAAAGAGGATCTTTTAAAGTTCAGTTTGGAGGAACTGACTCCAGTTAACCACTGTAGGAGACCCACTGGCTCAAGTCATTAAGGATCAGGAAAGCGCTGGTTTTATTGCTACATAGTTTTTTATAAACAGGCTAGAGATACACGAATGGAAGTGGGTGGGAGAGCTACCCCCCCCCCCCACTAGCTTGTGCTAGCTGCAGGGCAGCTCATGAATATACTGCAGAGCTCCATAGCATTTTTAAACAGCTTTAATGATCAAGCTAAGGCTGGGTAGCACCTACAGCAGCTGTTATAGCCACTAACTGTAGGAGCTTGGCAATGAAAGCTCTCCCCCTCCTCCCAAGTTTCCAGTGGAACTTCTTAATTCCTTTCTATATACAAAACGGTAACTAACCCTATTTTATTAGTTGCCGGGTACAAGGACAAGTCTGCAGTGTTGCTCTGAATGGTGTGCGAACTTCCCTGCAAGGAAGGATTAGGGTGTATATGCCACAGGGAACAATTTACAGGTTTGTAACAGTACATGATACCCGAAGGTTAAAGCTAGGTTGTATGTGTCCTGGGTGAGACTAGTTAAAGCTAGTCAGGTCCAACTCTTCCACCCATTCTTGCATCTGATTAACCTATTTTAGGAAATTTTAGCTTTGACGTTGCTCAAGTGTTCCAGGCGAAACTTACCAAGAGTGCTTTTTATATCAAATTATTTAGTCTAACCCACTGCTGCCAGTGGGTTAATTTAAAAATACTTCGAATTTCCTATTTCTATTGAAAATTCTAGGAACTAAAGCATATTCAGGGCCTTCAGCGTTGTTAAATTACTTTCCACAGCATAGGGCTAGCGTACTGCTAGCTTTTACCTAAAACATAAGCAGCACTGCAGTAGGTCTACTGGTACAACCTAGTCAGATTTAAATTAATATTTTACTTTTTAATAAACCTAAAGTGCGACCAACTTCATTGGTATTTCCGCGACACTAAACCTGTAGTAAAGAGCACCTGGGGGGAGGGGGGGGGTAAGGTGAGGGTATGTCACACTAACCAAGGTCACACCCTGGATCAGGAACCCTTGCTAGGGACAAGTAAAAGCTTTTCAGTAGAAATTTATTATAGGTGCAGAATACTAAACCCTAGAGTGAAAAACTTCACGTCAGGGGGGGGGAGGGGAATAGAAATCAGTCCAGTTAAAAGCCTGCACAAACCTCTAGAATCGAAACAAATTAACAGTTTATACACAAGTATAAAAGCTCCAAGGAATAAGCAACTTTAAAGCAGTATCAACGCAACTTTGCGATTTGAGGTAATGGCGGCGGTGCCTCATGGTGGCCCCACGCCCGTCCTGCCGCACCCTTATTAACACTCATACCCTGACATATACCATCTTTTAAGCAAAGTTTCCTGCACCAGAACTATTCAGGCGGTTCGCTTACGTAGAGGAAAGCCGAATAAAATAAAAAATGTTATGAATTACAAGATATAAAGGATGAAACATGGTGATGGAGGCGAGCATGGCGGCCATGCGGTGGCGGCTCAGACAGCCGGCAGCTCGCCAACTCCATGTTCCACATTATTTCTACTTTCCAGGCGACTTTCAACTATTTTACACTCTTCCAACACTGTCCAGCGTACTTTCCAACACTTTCCGGACATATTCACTTAACATTTGCAGAGGAAATCTTGTCAAAAAACGCCACTTTCACAAATCCTTACCTTGGCAACAGGCCTGCGTCGACTGGCCACGACGGAAAGGACTGATGTAGGCAGATGTAACTACTATATAGCCGCTCCGCCCTTTTTCATTGGTCGCCTTCTGGTGACGTCACGGACTTCCAGTCCCCTCATTGGTTTCCAGGACTCTACGTCACGGGCCGGAGAGGCTCTTGATTGGCTGAGAGCCAGGAGCAGCGCGCGCAGCCTTCACACACTTTATGGCGGGAGTTTCATCCTCAACTGACATGTCAACAACTCTTGGCTCATGTGCTGTAAACCTTTATTTCTGCTTTTTTCATTGATTTTCCTGCCATCTTATGCCTTGCAGCACCTTCCCCAATGATTCTTTCATGCCAGACTCCGCATTATTGACGAATCTATTGACGTTATTGCAATCAATTTTGCAATATATGAGAAATGCAGCGGATGGTAAATTGATTACTTGGAACATTTGCTAGTCACTATCAACGTGAAAATTAAATGTCACAACATTTAACATGTGTATGTTTACCTAATAATTTCCTATCTATGAAGTATTGATATTCAATATGGTGAGATTAGATGTAATCTATATTCTTAAAGGAGACACTTACTTTCTCAAGGGAGGGGCACTGATGCCGGTGTGGGGCTTTTGATCCAAGGAAGAGGATACATGATTCAAGAAATCGTACCCCTTCAAGGGAGGTTCCTTGATACGGGCGAGAGGCTCTTGATCTAGGGAATTGGATCTGTGATCCAGTTCCCTGAATTAAGCCTATATACCTCCCCCCACAGACGCTGTATAATCCCTACGGGTTTAGCGCTCCTCAATAATAATCAAGGAATCGTAATAACACGATTGTAAATCAATCATCCCCCACTGGGGGAATGGGAGGTAATGAGTCTTGATCCAGGGAAGGGGAGGAGAACTCTAATTCCTTGAATCTTTTTTTTTTTTTTTTTTTTTTTATTTTATTTAAACCATGACATTACAAAATATAATATGTAAAACTCATTTAAGTCGATAATTAACACAATCCTCCCTACAGCTAATATTACACACCACACTTACAACTCCGTGTGGGTACACCCCCCCCTCCCTGCTCCCTCATCCTATCACTTAACCCAAACCTGTTGGAGCTACCCAACAGAATTACATGATATGAACAACACTTTTATATACACATCCCTCGAAATGGTACTTAATAATCGACTACAGACCATACAATGCATTGCACGAACAATTATACAGACATATTACCCCCCCCCTCCGTGTTATCCAACCACCCCACTATTTACAACCTAACATACTATAAACAATGAATGTTGCCTAATCTAAAGTCACACAGCAATGATCCAACATTAATTTATGTAATTGTCCTAATGGTTCAGTTACATAACAATATGTATTACATAACAAAGGTGATATAGAAAAGTCACAAAGACATACAAAATTTACTACAAAACCATAAGAATAAACTTAGTCTCAAAATCCAACACATGTAAGCCTTTACACATTTAAACATGCAATTCCAGTGTTAAAACAATAACACAGCTTCAACTATGACATTCAAGCTCTATACAGCTTATATGGACATTACATAGTACTATTGACAACAATACAACAACATAAAATATAACCATGACATAAGTAACACATAAAGACTGTGCCTAGCACGCACCTAACCACAAAAACCTATAACACCACTGTTGCCCAACTTTATTACACTATCTGACGTGCATTAACCTCTTTACTCTCAAAACAAAACTGAATTGCAGAACACCAGTGACGAACAATAATGCACAGACATTAATACAAACATATCACATCATATCTCTGGACACCGTGCATGATCACAGCATCAACACTATGCAGTGCAAGGCACCTAGAAAAACAAGTTGGAGCAAATACATGCAATTATTATAGCAAATCTCCAAATTACAATGTCATTACCGTAAATCAATATTACCACACACAATATGTATAATAAGTATAAAGTCCAGTCACACAAAAACTGGCCAGCTCCACAGGTGCGCACCCGTGGTCCACATATATTCACTCATGCATCACTCATCCAACACTCTCGCAAAACTTTTGTTATCCATTACCAGGGAGGCAACCCTGTTTTCACCCCTGACTTCCCTACCCCAGCAACACTTTCCAATCATACCCTCCCCTCCCTCGTCTATTACAAGTCTAATAAAACCTGTAACGTAAGTTGCCTATATCCCTCTGAAAAATCCTTCACCCACCTCCTCCCATAAATTTCCTTATTTCTACATACCGTTTTATAGAACGTTAACGCTAACACCCTCCTCTTCACCTCAGTAACCTGTTTGCCCCGCAATCCCCACACTATATAGATATAATCTGCCATAATGTACCCCACAGCTCTGATTACACTTTCCTCCCAACCCCCCACGTCGAGACTTAATGCTCTCAATACAGAAAATTCCTTTACCTCCTATCCTATTTATCACCCTATTTAACCACCCCTTGACACTCCTCAGTCCATCACAAAAATATACTACATGAAAAGCCGACTCCTCCCCACCACATATCCCGCACTCCCCCCCCGTCAACGACTCGTCTATCCGTAGAACCACACCCGACGGTAAAATGCCATGCAGAAAACGATACATTACATCCCGAACACGAGGTTGCAACCTCATCCTACTCAACCTATCCATATACTTCCCCATGCATACATGGGGAAAATTCCCTCTACAGGCGCTACAACCCTCCCGGCTAACAATCTACACAACCTACCTATTTTAACCTTTGCTGGCTCTCGATCCCACGCCAGAGCCCTCAACAACAGTTTCAACACTCGTGCAACTCAACGCCTGTATACATCCGTTGCAATCTGTTATGGATCCTGGCCAAACCCCCCCCACCCAACACTTTCCCTCATCACCTCCCTTTAATGAAGACACATTTGACCCTCCGCTTTAAGTCCAGCAATCCCAGCCCCCCCTTACTTACAGGTAACATTACCCACATCCCTCTTAATCCAATCACAGCTCGAACCCCACAAGAATTTAAAAACCTTCCTAAGTATGTTCGTTATTGCTGGCCCAGTTAATGGGAACACGGCTGCCACGTGCCATACTTTGCTATACAGTAAGCTATTAACAACAATGGCACGCTGCACAAGGGTCAAATGATAAGGTCGCAATGCACCCAAGCGTCCCTGAATCCTTTCTACCATCCTAAGCGAGTTTTCCATGCGTGCCACAGGTAGATCGTCTGCATAAATAAGACCGCAGATTTTTAACGAATGCACCTGCCTCCTCACAACTGCACTACCCCAATCAACCCTACCCGCCCAAGCTCCTAACCCCATGACCATCGATTTATCTGAATTTACCCTCATACCAGTTGCCCCTGCGAACATTTGATACATACCCCGTCTAATGTGTCCATTGACATCCCCTCCCTGATCAGAACAGTTGTATCATCCACATACCCAATTAAAACTGGCCAAACCCTCGCAACCTCACACCCTGGTCCCTCTACGTGACCCATACGCTGCTCCATCAATCTATAAAAGGGGTCCTGTAACGCACGCAAACAATAATTGTGACATAGGACCACCCCTGCCTAAGTCCCCTACCCATTACAATCTTCCCACCCAATCGACCATTAATCTGTACCCTCGCCATTGCACCTCCATACAACGCCTCAAACCAGCCCACTATTTCTTCCCCAAACCCCTGACCCTGAGGATGGCTTTCAATGCTTTCCGACCACTCTATCGTATGCCCCTTGCCAATCGAGCGCCACCAAACCTCCCTCCCTCCCCCCCCCCTTTTGCCTCCACGAAATCCCTAAGTAACCCATGCCCCTCCACCATAGACCTCCCTGGCAAACCAAACTGAGTTTTTGATACTACCCGCCCTACCACACACTTGACCCGATTTCCCAAAATCTTCGCAAACAATTTATAATCTGCGCATAACAACGAGATCGCCCGATAATCCCGAAGCGTATGCTGCCCCTTACCCTTCGGTACCAATACAACGACAGCCTTGCCTGCTTCTCACCCAGCTCACCTCTCTCCTTCATGCAATTTAATAACCTAACCAGAAAATGCCTCAATAATTCCCAATGCTGCTGATAAAACTCTGCCGGGAGTCCATCAATTCCCGGTGCTTTGCCCTTTCGCATTCCACTTAAAGCCCTCCATATTTCCCCCTCAGTTATTTCCCCACCCAGTGCTTCCTATCACTGTTACGCAACTGACATACCACACTCCCACACCACCTGTTCTAAAACCCCATCCTACTACCCCTTCTTCGTTGCCAGTACTTCTCATACCACTTGTCAGCAAACGCCCCCATTCCTTCCGTAGCTTGTATGACCTGCCCCTCCCTGTACCCTCTATCGATTCATGAACCTCCAACCATGGAATAGTCATTGCCTGCTGTCTTTGTTTCTGCCTACGCAATACGCACGATGAAGGTCTATCGCCCCATAACACCTCTTCCACCCCCGCCTGTACCCTCACCGCTTGGAACCTCTCATCCTGTACCTCACGCAGCCTCCCTTTAATTGCCATAATTTCATCCATTTGGATAAGTGCCCGCCACCGCCCCCCTCGCATAACAACCCCGTAATCTATCCTCCAAATAGTTAGCAAGCCCATATTTTAAAGAATTGATACGTTTCCCTTCCTTTACGTAATATTGCTTAATCCGTTCTTTAGCCAACACCATCCCACCACATCACCACATCCCTCTAACCCCTTTTATCTCTGCACGTAACCCCCCCCCACAGGTCGCAAATCCCTCTATCCCCTCCTCATCACCTAACACACTTGTATTTAATTTCCAATATCCCCTAGATATACCTGCTAGTGACTCCCACGCCACCTCTGCTAATACCGCCCGATGATCCGAATAAGCTACTTCTATTGTACGGAAAAATGTCAACCCAACCCCTTGAGATATATACAGCCTATCCAACCTAGCAGCGTAACCCCGTCTTACAAAAGTGTGCTCTACCTCCCACGCCCCTCCTCCACCGCATCCCGCAACTGAATATCCCTCAAAA